TATATATATATATATATGTATGTGAATAGGTCAGTTTCTATGCTTGGACATTCGGATAACTCGTTGATTCCAATAAGAATATAAATACTCTTTGGTATTTCCATTTATTTGTAATCCAACGACTATTTATTTTTCTTTTTTTTTTTTGTTTCTTTCCTTATTTTCATTCTTTTTCCTTTTTTATTTTTTTTTTATTTTTTTTATTTTTTTTCATGGTTGTATATCTAGTTTAACGCCATATAGAGGATACAGGTATGTTTGAGTTTTTATTTTAGTAAGTCGAGTTTAATTTATATTTTATCTCTATATATCTTTATTCTTTCACTTCGATTCTGGTTACGTCACTTATTTGTAGCCTCGCAGTTATTTTTCAATGTGTGTGTTCTTTTTTTACCTTTTTTTCTTTTTCATTTTTGTTTACAACAGTGTTTCCAATTAAAACACCATATTAAGATATCAACGAGTTAAATTTTTCTATTGTTTTTGGTAGTCTCAGCATGTATTGTAATACTTTTTTTCTTTTTTTTTTCTATCGATTTTCGATCTCTTTCTATTCAGATCGTTACATCAGTTGATCGTTTTAATAAAAAAAAAAAAATTTCTAAGATGTTCTGCGCGAGCGATCGCACGTAACTTCTTCCGCATATTTTTAATGAATTAGAATGAAGAAGAATAAATAAGAAGAAAAAAACAGAAGAAGAAAAAGAAGAAAAAGAAGAATAGTAAGAAGCATTATTAAATCAGCTTAATTTGTAAGAAAGTTAGAAAATCAAATTCATTCTACTGAATCATCTAAACCATAAACCTACCTATATATATATTTTAATATGTTACGAATATATATTATATTATTTTATATTATATTACATTATATTAATTTATTATATTATTTTAAATTGTATTATATTTTATTTTATATATTACATTATATTATATTATATTACTATAAACACATTATTATATACTATAATATTTGTATGAATTAATTAGGAATATTATATAATAATATATTATTATATGTATATGTCTATATAATGTGTATACATAATGTAAAATAGATTCCAATTGAAATATTTATTTATGATTTCCGATTTGAAAAAAAAAAGAATTAATAAGTAAGAGGTAATCACACAACACATACACATATAGAAAGGGAATATAATTAATAATACTTTTATGTCGTTTAGATAGCTCATTGGCTTTCAATAGAACACGTTGTTCTACATAAAGCACGTTCCACTTGTATGTAATACGAGAATTATCGAAGACATCGACACCTAGAGTGTTCGATAGAAATTCCATTCTTTGCTTCTCAAGGACAATATTATGTCGTAGAAATTATTATTAAAATAAAAAGAGAAAGAGAAAGAGAAAGATTGAAAGAGAAAGAGAAAGAGAAAGATAGAAAGATTGAAAGAGAAAGAGAAAGAGAAAGATGTAATTAAAGTGAACGGTATTTTCTGTTACAGATTCACTTGCATTTTTTGTCCTTCGTAAAAAATCTGGGCCGCCCGTCGTTATACAACTGAACTTATAGTGCTTTTTTTCGTTTTTTTTTTTACGTATAAACCCACGTATGTGTGCACGTATTCTTTTATTTGTATGAATTGATGACCGTGCTTCTCGCAAAAAACACGAATCCAACATCTCGTTGTAAAACGTAAGTAGAAAACCTTGATCAAAAATCTTCATTCGTTTACTCAAATGTATAGATAATATAATATAATAATAATAATAATAATATTTAAAAATAAGATAAATCGAAAGATTGATATAAACATATCAATATTTATTTGATATATTTAATAGATAATATTATATTTAAATGATAATAATATAATAAACAGTATTATTTGTCTAATAAATATTAGAAAAATATATTTAAATCTAAATATTAATATTTATTTGACAAATATTATTTAAATCTAAAGAATAATATATTTATTAACAAAGGAAGATAATTAATTCGAAAAATGATATTTATTAAAATACAAAAATAATATTTATAAATACAAATTTTTTTTTTGTTAGATGTGTCTGATTGATTTTCAATGAACCTTTTAAATCGTTTTGATTGTATACGACCCACGTAAAAAATATAGCTCAAATATTAAATGAAACTTGAATGGAAAGTTCCGTGTTTGTGGGGCATATGCGAACCAATACAACGAAGAATTTGTGTTAGAAGTATAGCCGGTTTAATCGCAATATCTTTTCGAACTACTACATAAATATATATCGGGTTATCCGAAAAAAAATCTACACAAAAATAAAGGAATAATATAATGTTATATATTTTCGATCACAAGATTACCAATTTTTCATCTTTTCGAATTGTTACAAGTGTCATTAAAAAGAAGAAAATGAAAAAAAAAAACAAATATGACTTTATTAAATTTGACGACATTTTGTTCGTTACTTGCGAACAAAATAAAAACTTCAAAAAAAGCATATTAGAAAAATAAATTCTAACAACTATAACCCTACAACGAGCAAATAATCAAACGCAACGTGACCAGTGATTTTGTTAAAACGAGGTAATTTTTTTGTTAAAAAAAAAAAAAAACAGTGTGATAAAAACGTATTAAACAAAAAGGTACATCGTTAGTTTCTAAGTAAAAGAAAATATTTTTTGTTTGCTTACAATCGATTAAAATCTTTTTCTATATTAATATACATATGCATATATGTTTTGTATTTTTTTGAAATCGATCATTAGACCACTCACAATAAGAAGTGTCATAAGATGAATGATGCAAAAAAAAATAAAGAATAGTTTATAGCTATTTTCCTCGTATATTATTAGGATGAATAAAAAATTCCTGCATTTCTTGTGTTACAAATCGCATTATAAATTGCATAATAAGATTATTTTTTGTAAAATTTATTTTTGTTAAATATTAATTGAAAAACAAAAAATACGCACGAACTTTTCAGATTCACAATAATATTTGAACAAATCCATTACTAATTAATTTTCGTACGATAACGTACAATCGATGAGTAATAAATAATAATAATAATAATAATAATAATAATAATAATAATAATAATAATAATAATAATAATAATAATAATAATAATAATAATAATAATGATAATAATNTAATAATAATAATAATAATAATAATAATAATAATAATAATAATAATAATAATAATAATAATAATAATAATAATAATAATGATAATAATAATATAATAAAGTGAGAAAAAAGAAGAAAAAGAAAAAAGCACAAAGAAAAGCTTACCTGTTCCTTTGGGAGCCACGTGTAGGCGGTGGGAGTGAATTCCCGGTGACATTGGTAACGTTGACACTGGCATTGCGAGTGTTGCGTTGATCCGCAGAAGTCCTGGGTAATCTAGAACTACCAGCGGTGACGAAGCCCAGAAGGCAAACGGCGATAATTGCCGCCTCTCTCATACTCGCTAAGAAACCCTCGACCTCGTTCAATTGCTTTAGATAGAAATAGATAGAGATAGAAATAGAAAGAGAAATATTAAAAAAAAAAAAAAATAGAAAGAGAAAAATAGAGAGAAAGTTTATCGTCACTTAATTTCCTGAGAAGAAAACACTTTGAACAAACTCTGTCTATTTTTTCCTTTTTTTGAATTGTCACAACTTTAAATAAATATATATCCAATCGTAGATAATATTTTTCGATATTGAATATTATAATATTAGAATAATATGGAAAAAGATTAAAGAAATTGGAGGAGTTGGAAGATGAAATCCAGGTGGTAGTTTGATGAACGGGGTGCAATTTCGGATTGATTCGGGGTTGAAAGGATAAAACTATTATTTATCTCTATTACAAAAAAAAAAAACACTTTGATTAATTAACGTTATTCACTTCAATTAATTACACGTTTGTATACACTTTTGTTTTTATCTTCGTATTTGATCTCTTCGATGATTATTATCGAATCACTCACGTAAAGATCGATTAGGATCAAGAACCTCCTCTATAAGAGGAGGATGATCGGATTGATGTACGCGAAACGCCGGAATCACTTCGGGTATCTTTGCCAGTTTATTTTCTATTGAATTTTTATACTCTCTTTTTTTTTAATTAACGAAAGAAAGAAAGAAAGAGAGAAAAAGAAAAAATAATCTAATATAAAATCTCGTATTAAAAATGAATAATCCTAAATCGATATTTAATTCTCGTAAAAGAACGACACGTAATGTTATCGACGATTATTTTATAATATTCGAATGTCATTCTACGTAATATTTAAAATTTCGTTTGAAATTTTTATTCTCTTCAATTCTTTTTCTTTTTTGGACAAAACAAAAAAAATCGAATTAATGAACGAATTAATCGATGAATACATGAAGAATATAAAAAATTAAGATTTTGTTTATATAAATAATAACAATAATAAAATAATATACCGATTTAAAAAAAAACGAACCAACGAATAAACAAACAAATGCAAAAATAAGAAAAACAAAACAAGATATCGGATATAGGTACTCTCGGAACCGTCCGGAAAGACGGCGTCTGGCAAAGTGTCGGGCCCGGTTGCTTTCCGTGTCTCCCTTAGAGTGTATCCGTGGAGAAAGGGGGGAAAGAGGAAGAGAAGGAGGTGGAGGAGGAGGTGGAAAAGGAGGAGGACAAACCTCCTATCCGGGGCTATCGAACGCTCGGGAGAACACGGTGTGCTGCTAACCCAACAGAATGAGTAGTAGTTTGCCGTTCAAACAGAATTGATAAAAGTAAGGGTTATTGCAATACCTTTTTCTTCCCTCTACCGATGCAAGTATTTTGTGTTTTTCTTTTCTTTTTCTTTTTTTGTTATTTTTGTTCACTCTCTTCTTAACCCTTCATAGTATTCTTATTCTTATTCTTATTCTTAATCTTATTCTTATTTTTCTGATAACTTTTATTTTGTATTATATTTGATATTACATATTTTGTTCTTTTCACTCACTTGTTAGGTCCTTTTTTAGGTTGATTTTTCACCCCTCAACCCTCCCTACCACCCCACTTCACCCCACCCTCTTGACACAGTGTATCTTTCTTTCACGGAGGTAAGTTAAACTAACAGGACCCGTGGACACGCGTTCTCAGTCAACTGGAAGACTTACTTTCACGCGAGATCTTGTGTACCAACCAAAGTCTCTCTACATATTACCTTCTGTCCTCTTTCCTCCCAGCTTCCTTCTTCTTCTTCTAGTTCTTCCAAAAAGAGAAAGGGTGGGAGTGATCAAAAACCAACCGAACGACCGCCCAAGTTGAGAACATGTTTGTCTTATACCTCTTTTTTCTTTTTACTTTTTACTTTTTACTTTTATTATTATTATTATTATTATTATTATTATTATTATTAAAACTTTATAATTTTGACGGGTACTTGTATCTCTTTTATTCTTTTTTTAGATTATTATAGAACACTTTTTTCCCCCCATCGGATCTTACAGATTTTATCAGGAAAAAAAAATATATTATTGATCTTATTAATGTAAATGTCACGAAAAAAGATATGATCAGTAATAATTTGATTAATCGTGGTATTATTCATTTATTAAAACTATTATATTTTAAAACTCACATTACAAGGTTTTAAAAAATTCAATAATACAAATCGTAATAATTGTTAGATGATCCAATAAGAAACGTTCAATCAAGGACTCGAAGAAAATTCTATTCTTTATATATTTTTTCCTATATCTTTTTTTTTTACAAGTGTACTTTGATTTCGATCAATAATAATTATTACATTACTTTACTTCTATAGCATATTTAATCCCAGCAATGAAGTTGACTTATTTAACCATAAGCTAGATAACTAGAATGAAGTTTCTATCAAGGGGAACGAGATCTATTGAGATCTATCGAGATCTATAAATATTTGTATCGATATTGCGCATATAAGATCGATAAAATATCGTTCCTTGTTAAAAGGAAGGGTGAGAGGTGAGGGAAGAAGGTATTTTTTTTGTACAACTTAACAGGACGTTTGATTCGAATTTGCATGCAATAAGACGAAGAAACTATGCTATAATTTTTTGTTTTTTTTTTCTTTCTTCCTTTCTTTTTCTTTTCAAATTGCAAAATAAAATAAATATAACGTTAATAATGTATGTATAGTATTAAATACGTTTGAAATTTTGTTCGAAATATAATATGTGAACTAATTAATCGTACGTCGGAATCAATCATTATCATCGTGATCGTATAGTTTTTTTTGCACGCACGTATACGCGCACGTATACGTGTATATGTGTATGTGCTTACGCATACGTGCGTGTATTTTAAACATCGGTCAGATCACGCGTAGAAAGGTTTTGCCAGAGTGCTGACCAAAATATTATGTAAATTTATAGACACTCGATAACAACGTCATTATAAACGGTTCTCCAAGATGCCGTAATATTCGTAGTGTATGTGTGTGTTTTGGTATGTGTATGTGTGGGTGAACCCAAAACTGAATGAGATGAAATTACTTCTACGATATTTAAACGAGAACTCACCTGTCTATCTTGCGTGAATATTTCACGTACAGTTCAATCGTTTTACGTCAAAATGAGAACACTCCAATCTCCAAAAAGATTTCTCAATCATTCTTCTTATTTTTTTTCTTCAACTCCCCCACATCCTGCTCACTTCCTTTCTTTTTGTCTCCCTTCCTTCTTTCTCTTAAAAGGAGGAAAATAATTTTGTTATTAATTTTGTTTGTTTCTTTTTTTTGTGATAAAAACAAATTTACATTTGTTTGTTGTGAATTGTTCACATTTTGTGAATTGTTTGTAAGACAAACATTCGTATGATTTCAAATTATTCTCGAATCAAAGAAAAACCAATAAATACCCTTTCTCTCTCTCTCTCTCTCTCTCTCTCTCTCTCTCTCTCAACAGGTAAGTTTCCACTACTTCTAGACATTCCAATGTAATGCGTCGAGATTATATTTTTCTTACAACGATTATTTTCTATTTTCTATTTATATTATTTATTTCTTTTTTTTTGGTTATATAAAACAAATAATAGAAATAATATATATTAAAAATTTTTTTTACCTCTAATAACAAATTCTTTTTATTTTCATATTATAATACATTATTTAATACAAAAAAAAAAGAAAACATATATTTTATTCTATAGAAAAAAATTTCCTTTAATTACAAATTCTTTTAATTTTCATATAATATATTATTTAATACAAAAAAAAAATATATATATATATATATATTTTTATATATCTACAAAAAAAAGAGAAAACTTATATATTTTATTCTATAGAAAATAAATCGTCAAATATTTGACAATAAATATTACGGGAGAAAAAAAATATTCTACAATTAAATATTTTTAAATATAAATTAAAAATTTTTAAATATAAAAATATCTTACATTTTGTTCCTTACATATTTATATCTTCGTTATACATATAGTAGATTGTTAATAAAATGACGTTATGCTATTTGAAATCCTTGGAACCGAGAACCCTTTCTAGTTAAAGTTTTCCATTTCTAATGGAAGGATATTCCAATCCACGCGTTTTCAAACTCCCTACGATGATTTATATCGATACACTCCACCCCCTTCTCTATGTCCTCGGGCACGAGACGCGTTATTCATGGTGTATCGAAAGCAAAAAAAATTCCTTTAACAAATCGTGGGAGGAGAATGAGATAGTATTATAAAGAATGTTTCTCTCACTCAGTGAGAGTAAAAGAGGCAAGGTATGCTACTCGCTCGATTAAGTACAGATAAATGACCCTACGTAAAAGATAACGAAATAACTTGAGTTTATTAGACCGAGCCATTAGAATTAAGAATTATGGAAAAATTAAAAAAGAAGAAGAATAATAAGAAGAGAGTAGAAAAGAAAATAAACCATATACCATTCATTATAAAGTGTTATACTTCCTAAACTCATTCAATAAACTCCAATACACGTGTTTCACTGTTTCACATTATTTAAAGGTTTTTATTTCTATGTGATTACATTTATCATTATTAAATATATACACATATTATACAAAATTACTGAATATATAGGATAAAAAAAATTATATGATAAATTATATGATAAAAATAAAATAAAATTAATTTGATATTACAAGTATCAACATCTACATTTACATTACAACTATCTACATTTATAACACTCGTTACGAGTTAAATAAAAATTATACAAAATATAATAAAATAAAAGAGAAAAATAAATCAAAAGAACATTCGAGTACTCGAAGTAACGAAATACACGAGTAATGAACGAATAAACTTGTGGAAAAGTTGTACTCGGAGAGGGTTAGGGAAGGGGGAGATAGGCAGAGAAAAATGGGTGGGTAGAAAAGAATGGATTTACGAAGAATTACGTAAGTTCTTTGGCGGTTTGCAACTATTTTACTCGTATCTCGGCTTTTATAAAAGGAGAACAAACTGTACTTTTTAAAAAGTAAGCCTACAGGCAACAAGTCTTGTTCATACCTTCGTTTCTTCCTCCTTCTCCTCCTCCTCCGCCATTTACACTCCTCCCTCCATTTCTTTTTTTCTTTCATTATTACTACCACCACCATCATTATTTTTTCATTTTTTTCATTATTATCATCACCGCCACCATCATTTCTTCTTCTTTCTCTTTATTTCTTTTATTTTTCCTTACCCCCAATCATTAATTTCCTTCAATTCAATTCAATTCCTTTCTTTTTTTTTCTTTCTTTTTACCCCCACCCCTATTCTATTTTACTCGTTGATTTATCAGAGTAAGGCCGAATCGTAATTCTTGGAGAATGGTCTGTCTATTGCCTTGAAACAACGTCCAGGGAAATATATATATATATACTTGCTTATTTACTTTTACTGTCTCCAGGATTACGATCTTCTTGTTCCTCTTGAGAACACGTTAAGCAATTCGAATTAGATAGATCAATAAATCGATAAATCGATCTATAAATCAGGACACGATCCTTAATCCCTCCACCCCCACCCCCACTTCGCACCTTTACGAATTCCTAGCAAATTTATTTTTTGTTTTTTTGTTATTATTTTTATCATCACACTTTTCTTTTTTTTCATCATCATCATCATCGATTGAATCGCATATTTCTGATGAAAATTTAATTAATGATCAAAATTTATTATTTGTTC